ATGCCTTGTAACGCTTTCTTCGTCATCGTGGTTGGAAACTTCTTGGTTGTTTTTTTCAGACGACAACTGTCGAGTGTGTCTTAAGCAAGCTTCCAACGATTATATCAACGCAACGTTCATCGACGTATGTGATTATTTTGCTGCTGCCAGATGACCGCCATCTTTCATGCGATTCCTTTTCTGCATTTCAGAAGCTTTCCGACTTCAGTCCGATATTCATTTTGACGCAGGCTCCGACGCCTCACACGCTTGCCGATTTTTGGCTGATGGTTTATGAACAGCATATCGGGGTCATATGCGCTTTGTTAGCGGAAAATGAGGTTTCTGAGTTTCTCGTTCAGTTTATATAATTCACCAGACGGTATGATAACATCGTTCCTGTTTAGTCATCGGAAATTCCGTTTTGGTGCGATGATGTGAAGACCGTTCATTTTTCTCATTACCAAGTTTCATTATTCACACGAGAAAATCATTCATTTGGCGCCAAGCTCAATTTCGTCTTGGTCGATATTAAGGCACTATATTTGGATTGCGGTGATTGATTTGCAACGGAGGATGATTTTTAGACCAAACAGAGTCGATACGTTACGCTTCTTCGCTTTGCATATACCACTTTCAGGTAAGGTTTCTGACCGGTGCTAGTCAAATTTGATCGTTTTGTGAATTTTGCTTCAGAAGCTCAGGCGTTTGCGATGACATCGATCTTTTCATCCAGTTCGTCAGTGTTTCGCGCGGTCATTTGAAGGCTCTTAGTTCTGACCTGCCCGTTTGCGTACTGACGCTGTACCTCACGTGGTCTCATTTGCATTTCTGCATTAAGCGCAATTTTTCAGGCTTGGAGATGGCATGAACTGCATTTTCGCTGTGCTCTTGTCCGCTATAGAAGAACTCACGCAAGCAGGGCGAATCTCTAACTTCCTGCATCTGTTCGAAGCTTTGCACAAGTATCAAAAGACGTGCCTATCGAACGAAAATCAGCTGTATTTTACGTACGAAGCCATTTTGCAATTCATCAAGGGCTTTCTGGCCAAAGGTATGCGCTTACATCAGCTGACAGAAGCCTGATTATGATGATTGATTAATTGTGTGTTAATTGTTGTCCCCTGGTCGACTGCGTCTACTGGTCGGACCACTGCTGATTAAACAAAATTTTGCATATTTTGGTAGAATCTTTCTTCAAAAATTGTGAGCTGAAGGATGGCCATATTGCATGTATTCAAGCAATAAAATGCATCATTTGAATGCATGCCTCCTGAATATAATTTGACACTTTAGAAAAAAAATGTTTTCTGGTAAGCATACATGACGGAAAGAGCACAGAGGACTTTGTTTTTGCTAGTCCTGCTGGTCTTCACGATTCTTTAGTATCTGTGACCTTCAGAATGCATAAAAAGGCTTTACCCGGCATTAATAATTTTCAATTCACCAGCTCTGTTCCTAGTTTTATCCATTGTTTCAATAATTAGAGCTTCCAGCAAGTTCCGTTCGAAAATGGTTGAAGCTTAAGTTGTAGATGAATAGGATCACCTAGGAATTCCATTTTTCAGCATAACAGAACAGTTACAGTATCGGGTTGAACAAATTCGCATAGTATAAAAGTGGAATATCACAAAAAGCGCAGAAAATTTCAAGTAGATATAAAAGGACATAATGGCAAAACATATATAAGACTTGTTGTCATCGTCATTTGAGTGTCAGGGTCAAGGACCGAATACCTAGATTAATAATATCAGACATTTTGGCTTCTCAGAATGATTTTGGCGATGTTCCTTGCTCCGCCAAAGGTCATGTACCTCGTCCGCAAATCCGCCTCTAGCAGCTGCTGTAGGGTGCGATATTGACCTCCAGTGCGCAGGGTCCAACCTTTTATTCCCAAAGGAGAATTGTTTCGATGAGTTTCCATTTTCTTTCCTGCTGGTTCTGTCAAACCACGACTGACATGGGTCCCTGATTTTTTCAGACAGCATTCTAAGGCCGGTCGTCTTCAATATTTTTTCATTCTTTATTCGATGGAACCATTGCACTTCCAATATGTTCCGCAGGCAGCGTTGCTGAAAAATGTCCAACATCTTTTCATGGGGCTTTAAAAGAGTCGATGCTTCAAGGCTGTATATACGGATTGAAAAGACGACGGTTTTCAGTATGGTGGTCCTTGTTGCTGTCCAGATAGATCGATCTTGCTGCAGTTTTGAAAGTCGACCGAAGTTCGCAGATGTCAGCCCTAAGCGCCGCCCTACTTATAAATCATTGCTTTCATTTCTTGCCGGTGCAGAGCCGAGGTACTTGCAGTTTTCAACCTCCTCCATTGTCGTTCAACTCCATTGAATCTTTGGGTTATTAATCGAGTCGGGTGCACATAAGATCTTCGTTTTGGTGGATTTAACTTCTAAACCTACCGTCGAGATCACCTTGCACATTTCTCGAATTAGTGCCAGTATGCCATTGGCGTAGTCGCTCAGTGGTGCAGTGTCGTCAGCGTACTCGAGATCTGCTATGAGTACTATTCGGTACCTTCGGCTGAGTCGTCGTCCGATAGTAAATCTCTCACCGTTATTGGGGACGACGCTCCTCTGCATCACATAATCCACCACCATATTGAATATTAGAGATGAAAGCACCTCTACGTG